AAAAAAAAAATAGAGAATTGAGAAAAATCTATTGTTGCCCTAAGCCCAGTAGCCTCTAAGTAAACCACATGATTTTTGCACGTATTATGATCATAACAAATCACAAACCCTCCACCCCAGAGGAAGGGGGCAAAAATCAACATTTATTTCTTCATTTTATAAAATTGGTAAGTTTTAGCTTTTTACCTTATAATATGACAGTTTTAGCCATTTATCTTACAAAATTAGTAAGTTTTAACCTCTTACCTTACAAAGTTGAAATGTTTTAATCTTTACCTTATATTATGATATTTTTAGTTTATCACCGATACAAATTAAAGAAAATAACCCTCACCTAACATCAGGTTATAAAATTCAGTTAGTTCTGTTAATTAACTGTTAACATCAGTTAGCATTCTGTTATAAAAAAAATGAAATTTAAATTCAATTTTATTTGCTAATTTCATTAACGGAATGCTAACGAATATTAGCAATCAACTAATAGAATTGATAGTCAGTTAATAAAACTGACAATCAGTTAACAAAACTGATAGTCAGCTAACAAAACTGACAGTCAACTAAAAAAACTAATAGAATATTAAAACTTAATGTTAAATAAAGGTTATTTTCTTCGATTCGTACATATAAGGGGTTAAAAGTGTCATAATATAAGGTGAAGGGCTAAAACCTACAAATTTTGTAAGGTAAGAGGTTAAAATCTACCAACTTGATAAAATAAAAAATTAAAAATGTCAAATTATAAGGTTAAGGATTAAAACATACTAATCTTACAAAGTGAGGAGTTCCCATAAGGGAGAGACAGAGGAACAACGAATAAAGTGCTGCAGTGGAACAAGGAGAACACGAGTGATGGGTTACTCGCGAGTTGACAAGTGATCGGGCAGGTGGCCCCATGACAGGTCATAAACGGATTGTGCTTCAAAAAATTCTTACCCATGCTCATTTTTTCAGCCAGTTTACAAGTCAGGTAGAATTTTGTTTTGCCGAGTCTAAACATACTTCAAGGTTGCCAGGCTAAGCAAGACTGAGCTACCTCCGCCTTCATATGCTCACTGGGGATCATGATCAATCATTGCCATTACTGTATGACATCAGCTCTGGAAGTGTAATATCCCAAAATTTTGTGATATTTTAGCATTTAGTTAGGGGATAATTGTGAAAAAAATAATATTGTTGGGCCTAATAGTGAATATTTCAAAAGTTGAGGGACTTAAAAGAAAAAATAATTGGATAAGGACCGGGTGATTTTTTTCTTCCTTCTTCCTTTCTTCAGCCGCGTGTTTCTCTTCTTCTTCTTCTCCCCTGCACCGAACAAGAGCTCCAGCCACCACCAACGCCTCTTCCTCTTGAGAAATCGGTAAGAGCTTGAAGTTTTCCCTTTCTTTTCTTGTTCTAGGACTGAAATTGAACCCAGAATTCTTCCCCCCTCTGTAGAATCCCAGATCTGCTCTGCTCTGTCTTCACTGTCTGCTGCTCTTGTTTGTGGGGGCGAAATTCTTTAAAATTCTGGTAAGAACAGCCATGAATCTCCCTTCTCCAGCTTTAATTGGCTTGGGTTTACCTTAATTTCTCTTGGTTCACCAATTTTGGGTTAATTCTGTGAGTCCCTTGCAGATTGCCGTCGGCCTTCCCCCAAACTGCAGCTCCGGTTTTCGCTGCTAAATTCTGGTATGATGGCCACTTCTCTAAGTCCTAAATTAGCTGAATTTTAATTGTTGCCATGCTGAATTTTAATGGTTGAATTGCTGCCCTATTGTTGTCCGAATTTTCTGCTGGGAAATAGGAGGGGATTCGGCAGTAAATGGGACCATGATTTTGCTTAATTCATGTAGAAGTTAGTTTAAGTAGGCTGTTGTGATGTTTTGGAGAGAAAATCCCGTGTGTGTGTGAGTTGTGGTTTGCCAAAGCCATGCTCTCCATGTGCTGCCCGTGAGAAATGGGAAGAATTTATGTGTTTGAGTGTTAATTGACTGCTGTGAGATTTTGGAGTGAAATCCCGTGAGATTAGCTATGGTTTTGCAAATTTTTGGAAGTTGCAGTTACTGTTCATTGCGTGATTACTGTTCACGGGTACTGTTTACAGATACTGTTCACGCATTAATGGCCAACAATAGGAGGGTTTAAATGTGTAATTATATTGAGAATAAAATTAAGATGTTTGATCATATGGTTAAATTTTGTATGAAGCTCATTGGTTAGTAAATTTGTAAGGTTGTGCTAATAATTCTAGTAAAGTCTAAATGTATTTATTTGGAATATTAGGTGCTGTTATGGCTTAAAGCAATGGGATTGAGTTCTCGGTTTTATGCGAGTAAGGTAAGTAAATTTATAGTAATGCCCGTACAGTTTTTAAAAACATGTTTTGACTTGTTTTTGAAGTGGTGGCAGGACTAAACCCGTTTTATACAAAAGTAAGTATGGTTGATTTGAACTGAAATTTTTATGCTTTTCATTAAATTGAGCATGCTTACTTGAAATTGAAATTTAATTGATTGTCCTGATGATCTGAAAGTGATTAGTGAATTATGGTTTTTCTGTTAACTTCTGTCTGTTTTGTCTTCGATGTGGTCATGTTATTAATGTGCCCGCTAGTGGGAGGTTTATAAACACTAACACATGTCAACATGTTATTGATAGAATCGGTTCGTTTGAGTGACCCTGCTAATGGGGGTTATACACCAGCAAATAGTGTAGCCTACTAGTGGGGGGTTTATAACACTGGCCATGACCTATAGAGGAGACGTCTATTTCGTTCTCGTACTGTATCCGTTTTTCATGATTACACTTGTTGGCATGCTATAAGTTTAATAAGGAGCACTGCATATTTTACTTACTGAGTTTATCTCGTAGTTTTTCATTGTCCACCATTTCAGGTAGCAAAGTCAAGGACGGGGAAAAACGAGAGGACTGACGAGTTAGAAGGCTAGCCATCTTGTAAATTTGATATAGATTTTAGATATAGATCATAATCTTGTAAGTTAGATTTTAATTGGAGATTTTATAAATTCATTGAATGGATTGTTAGTTTACAAGAAATTTGACCTTGAGATTTTGAGCTTAAGTCATGTTGGACATAGAATTATTTTGAGATATTTGATTTAAGTTATTGAATTGTCAGATGTGATATGATAAGTTCCAAGCCTTGTGCATTTGTGGGACCCTCTCACAAGTGTACGACGTCTGTCATGTCCTCGGATTTGGGTTCTGGGACGTGACATGAAGGGTCTGAAATGCAATGACATTGGAGTTAATACTCCTTCATGAACCTCACTATAATGTATAACAGTGGTGCAAGACCATCCAAGGGGACTCACAATGTAAAATACCACCTTTGGGGCTATATAAATACTCCTTAGCTACTATTTTCAAAAGTACATTTATTATACCTTTTTCATCTCTTCTAACACACGTACTCCCAAAGATTCATCCTTAAATAATGCTTTGGACACCAGAATGTCCACCTCAAAAAACAACCTCAAGTCCAACAGTCCAAAGGCTATGCCGACGTTCCATTCCAATCCTAGCAAAAGTGGGTTGAGCTAATTCACGCAATTACCATCTCCTTAATAACAATTAGAAAGTCCAAAATTTCAACTAAGAAATCACGTGGGGATAAGCAATATATGTTTTGCGAATTCGAGGTTAAACATAACGTACCTGCCCAAAAGAAAAAGAAAAATTATTGTGGCAGAGATTATAACAACGACTTTCCTTGTAGCTAAGACTTTCTCCCCCCAAATGACGATTATGTGCAATTTTCCTTAAAATTAAAAGATAAGTATTATTATTTTTCTCCATTCTTGCTCATAAAATTCTATTAACTGTCCTTAATTTTTTTTTCTTTGTAAAATAGAAATCACAAATAAAAATTAAAAGACAAAACTAAAATAGTTAATATAAAATTCTATATATTAACTTTATTTTATTCAAATATTCTTAATGTAACTTTTTATGTTTTTATTTATTAAAAATGTATTTGAAAACATGTATTTATGTGAGATTTATGCGTATCAATTCTGATTAAAAAAAAATTAGAATATCAATTAATATTTGAAATCAAAATCCCAAATCAAAATTTAGAAATTTATCATATCAAATGTTGATACTAAATTTGAAAACCAATTGTTGGGATGTGCTAGTGATGTAAGTTGATGAGTCAGCAGTAGTGATGTAAGTTGATGAGTCAGCAGTAGTGATGATGTGGGGGCTAATTAGGATGCCATCTCAAATGATGAGGAGGGTCTTTTTAGCGGGACCCGTTTCACGTGCAAGAGGTGACGTGCCATGGGTCGTCTTGTTCTACCCAGCAATGTTAGTCAGCAACAAATTCCTCAACAAAGTCTAAAAGTGTAAGTTTTCCAACCAAGTTGAGAGGGAGAGTTGGCAGCAATGATAGAGCTCCAAGATGTCCAACAATGTTGGTCAACAACAAATACCCCAACGAAGTCTGGAAATAGAGTTTCTCCAACGAAGTCTAGGAGTAGAGTTACTCCAACGAAGACCAAGAGTAGAGTTTCTCTGGCAAAGTCTAAAAATAGAGTTTCTCCAGCGAAGATTAGAAATAGAATGTCCCTAGCCAAGCCAAAAAGAGTGGAATGATGATGGTGCTCCCAGGATAACAAGAATGATTACACAACTACCAAAAATAATGAAAATGAAATGTACAATGTTGTAAGAGCAGCAATGATAGAAAATATGTAAGGGTTAAAAATTACAACTTGAGAAGCACATTTTTACATAGTATATTGTAGCACAGTAGCAAAGACAATGAATGTACCCTCTATTATCCTTGACAAATACTTCTATTCTATAATAAGCAACCCTCACATTGTAGATAAAAGGCACAATGGTCTCCCTCAAGCTTTAACAAGACAAAAGGAATAAACTTGAAAGTAATGATGAAAGAAGCAAGGATGACCGTTGTGGGGGCTTGCAAATGGAGGGCTTGCAAATGGAGGGCTTGATCCCATTTTTTATGCTAACTCTTCAGCTTAATCCTTTGATGCTCATGAAGATAACCTAGAAAATGAATCTGCAGTATGTTGTTTCCTAACCATGATGTTCTGCAAATCTGGAAATTGTTCAACAGTGCTGGAAGTGCAGAAAATATAATAAAAATGGTGGTTTCTGGGTATTTTTGGTGTATTTGGGGAGAGATAGAAGATGAAGGATTTTTTAGAGGAAAAATTGGAGTTTTGGTACGTGAGGAAGAAAGTTGGAGCTGTGCAAATTGTTCAAATCTGCTGAAAAATGAAGGGAAAATAATATATATATATGTGCAGTGGCATTTTTGTAATTTCTAAGTTGATGAGTTAGAGGTGCACAGTGGCCTAATGGGTAGATTTGGGTGAGCTGTCGAGTTTTTGAGTGGCTTTGAGCATTGTTGATAACTTTTTGGCAATGATATTATGAACTATCTAGTGGTTCCAACGAAGCACCACTAGTTCCAACGAAGTATTACTAATCTATTGAAGATTGTCCATTTTTAGTAACTCTCTAGCCATACGAAATTCCATTTTTTGGTGGATAATTGAGTGCAGTTGGCAAAATCAAATCTAGCCAAGATTTAGGTAGATTTCCAAAGGTTGCCCAAGATATTGGTAGATTTCCCAGGGTCAGCCCAAGATTTTGGTAGATTTTCCCAACGAAATCAGATCCTTTTTAACAGTTCCCAAAATCACGGAACTTGTGCAATCATCTTTTACATTGAATACAGCTGCAAGTTGCTGATGGTGACCAAGATAACATCTCTGGTTGGTTTTGAATAGGATCTTAGGCTTCTACTTAGCATCAAATAGTATGGTTTTATGACTAAGCTCAGCCTCCATGTCTTCGCCACCCAACCCTTTTTGGTGAAGTCAAGCAACATCGCCAACGCCAAGCTTCGCTAGCGTGAATACCTCGTTTTGCCAACTAGGCAAAGTTCACCCATCCATGTCTGTCAAGCCACTACTCTTATAGTTTATCCTAAATATCCCCATGAGCTTGGATTTATGAGTTCATTGATGGCCTACATAAAGTAATATGCACTATTTTTCTTATTTATATTTAGGGTATATATTTCAAATATATATTTTAAATGCATATATTTTAAAATATATTGTTTGAGTTGAATGAAAAATAAATAAATTTAAAATATATGTATTTTTTAAATTAGATTATTTTAATATATTAAAATATTGAACATTTAAAATTAAATGTTTCTTTTAAAATTAATTTTCTTTTAATCATTATTTAAATTGAATCCATACTTCTTTAATAATACCGCTATTAATATTTTTCCATTTTCAAATATTCAAAGCATTTTTAAAAATTGTATCAGAACTAAAAACTAAATATATTTTAGTGGAAAGAAAACACGTCTCTGACAAGAAAAAAACATATATATATTTAAATCTTTTTATTATTATTCTTATTATATCAAAACTAAAAATTAAATATATTTTAGTAAAAAGAAAACATATGTCTCTAACAAAAA